GGCGTTTCATGTCGCACGCGCACGCACGCACCGGCCGCCGCCGCGGTGCTGCACGCCCCATCTGATTGCAACGCCGATGGCGCGCACCTGATCGGCGGCCCTACCTGGGCGGCACGGCGGCCAGGGCGGGTCCAGGGCAGGGCCATGGCAGGGCCAGGGCAGGGCCAGGGCGGGTCCAGGGAAGGGACAGGGTGGGTCCAGGGTGGGTGCAGGGCGGGTCCAGGGCGGGTCCAGGGCAGGGCCAGGGCAGGGCCAGGGCGGGTCCAGGGGAGAGACGGTGCGGTGCCAGGGCGGCGGGTCCACGGCAGGGCCAGGGCTGGGCTGGTCCAGGGCGGGTCCACGGCAGGGCCAGGGCTAGTCCTTGGGACCCCGTCGGGCAGCAGCCGGGCGGCAGCCGGACACCAGCAGCGCGCCCGCGGGCCAGAACTGGGTTACCTCGTCTGTCCTCCCCCTCCCTCCCCTCTGTCAAGGACACACACTCACACACATCCCATCGGTACAGCAAGCCCATGCATCGCAGTCTGCAACTGCTGATTGCGCAACGGCAAACATACCGCCAGGGGGGTGGGGAGGCTGGGCTTGGCTGGGCTGGGGGCGTGAGGTGATACCGCGTGCCTTTGACACTGATCCCACGGCGTTCGCCGTATCGTCCGCGTCACGCTGCCGCACCGCCGCCGCCGCAGCCGCCTCGCCCTGCCCTAGGTTATAAACGCCGTTTTCCGCAATCCAGATTCGGGCAACCCGGCGTCGGCAGGCGCCGCCACCGGCGAACCAGAGAGATCCTCCCGATAGATTGCGCGCGGGCCTGCTATCACGTCGCGGGCACCGCCTCAGCCGCGCCTCCTCCTACGATATCGGATCGAGTTTCGGATCGCGGACGGCTGATAACGAGAAATACAGGAGCCAGCAGCACGTGCGAAGTAGAGAAGAAAAGAGATGCGCGCGTGGCCGTGGTCCCGAAGAGGAGTTCGGACCCGTGGTACTGTCGCTGCTGGCCAGAAGGAGTCCATAGGGACCCCCCTTGAGCTTCCGCAATAATTTTGCCTAATTATCGAATGAGAAGCAAGCGCGACGCGGTGACCCTAAAACGTCAGGCTGACCGCGTAAACCGGGTACGGTAATGACTCTCTTTTTTTCCTTCTTCCAAATCGCTGCGCGCGGTCCTGCAGCGCCCGACCCACCGACCGACCGACCGGCCGACCGACCGCGAGGACCGGGCCGATCGGCACAGGGGAAGACATATTGTATCGGGTGGGCCGGTGGTGGGCCATGTGTGTATGTCCAAGCCGCCGCCCTGCCCCGGTCCGAGTGTACTTTGCCAAAATCGGTCACACCGGACACTTTTTGGGGAGGAAAAGTCGTCCGGTCGTCCAGCCGCTCGGCCCTGCCGCTGCCCACACGTGCGGCGTCGCGCCGGTGCAGCCGAGCAAGCCGAGCTCGCTGCTTGGGCCTCTCATAACTGATATTGCGTCAGCACTGTCACCAGACCTGACCCAAATGCATCCGGCCGGACAGAGATCGATTGACAGGCCGGCCGAAGGGTCAGGAGCGCGGAGTGTGGGGTGGGGTGGGGCGGGCGGGCGGTGGCTCGCTGCCGTTTGTTTGCGCACGGGTCCTATTGGGTTCGAGTATACTACTGTGCACTGTATAAACACTCTCACTTCGTGGACCCGCTTCGTGTACTACGTGTTTTCGTAGCCAGTGCTTACGCACAAGTTTTTTTTTTCCTTTTTTCTTTTTTGCTTATCGCACAGTGCTCTTTCGCCTTCCAAAAAACCGAAAAAACACACCTTGCAATTATAATAATCGTTTTTATTTTAATTATCAAAAGCAGCGTACTTGGCATTGGTGCCATCCCACACGAGGCATGAGCTGAGCAGCCCTCCGTGAGAATCGCGCGCCGTGATGAGCCGATGTCAATGGACAGGAGACATTAAAGCAGACGACCTCACACGCAACACTGTGGTTGGAGGAGCAGACGCGAGTTTCTTTACGTGTTTTGCCTTGTTTCTTTTTGATACTTTTTGTTATTTTTTTCCCTTATCAAAGAGCACGATTTCATATTAAGTCGCGAAGGTTTAGTTCATTGACTGTGTCGGATTTATAGCAAGGGTAATCAATGTTTTGTGTTGTTATTTTTTTAAAAACCTAATAAAAAGGTGGTGTAGTCATGGTCCGGCTGGCCGGGGTCCCACGCCACAGCGGAGGTGGACAGCGTGGGCGGCGGGGGCACGTCCGATACATATTTATACACGTGCACGCCGCGTGTGTCGCAAAAAATAAAAGAACATCCGAAGATGGGCGGAAACGCTCGCTTGAAAACCGGACAAAAGCGAGACGGCGATGATCGTTGCGTGCTAAAACGCTGGCTGAGCGGCAATGAGGTGGTCTCGCATGCACTTTTCACTCTGCAAACGCAGCTCACTGCACGCCAGCACGCAGAGGCCGGGGTGGGGTCTCATTTTCACGGGCTTCTGCCCCGGGGCAGGCCCAGACCCCGCCCCCGACGACCCGGGTGGGCGTGGGAACAACGTCGCCCGCCCGCCGCCCAAACGGCAGACGGGAGACTTGCGCGCACGAGCGGGGCCAGTGCACAGCACAGGTGGGCGCCTACGGGATAGGCCAGCCCGCCGCGCAGCCGCGCCCGCAGAGGGCTATGTTGCCTATGTGAAAGGGGCTCCAACCCGCCCGCTGAACGGACAAGCCAGCCCACCGCACAGTCGTGCGGGGTACGAGCCCCCGCGCGCCTGCAGTGTAGACCAGCACGCGGGCTATACTGCCTCCTTGGAAGGAGCTCCAACCCGCCTGCGCCTTCCCGATAGGCCTGCCCGCCGCAAAGCCGTGTGTGCAGGGGGCTGTGTTGGAAGGGGCTCCAACTCGCCTGCTGGGTAGGCAAGCCCGCTGCACGGCCGCGTCTACAGGGGGCTAATGTTGCCTACGTGAAAGGGGCTCCAACCCGCCTGCTGGGTAGGCAAGCCCGCTGTACGGCCGTGTGTACAGGGAGCTAATGTTGCCTACGCGACAGGGGCTCCAGCCTGCCGTGCCGGGTGATTCAGAGAAGACGCTGGTGCGGGAGGGTTTGCCTTCCTTACCATCCATGGCGCCGTACAGAGGGGCCAGGGCAGAGCGGTTAGTCCAACCTGCCCGCACCTGCGTCTTCTCTGAATGACGCGGTATAGGATTGCATGCAGTATACGTATCTAATCGGATGGGGTGGTATGGATGGTGGTGGCTGGCCTACTGGGCTGGCGAGCAGCCGCCCCTCAGAGGCCAAGGTCAATCCGAGAGTCCCTCTGATTGCTCTTTCATAACTCCCGACAAAAAGGGCTGGGACTGTCAGAAAAGCGCGCCCTGGCGACGTGCCGAGAGAGACAAGCATGTGACGGGAAAGATTCCGCGCGTAATTTCAAAAGTCCGGCCCGGCGGACCGACGACCCGGCTCGGCAAGGCTAACACTCACATGCACCAGGCGGGCCGACGCGGCGCTGCCCAGGCCCTGCCCTTCTCTGAGCGGAGAAGTTAATCTCTGGAGTCCCCCGAGTACCTCCCGATGGAGTGGAGTCAATTAAGAGTTTAGGAGCACCCGCACAAGGATACTGTACTGTAATAATAGCGCCTCCTCTACGAGTTGCACCAGAGCAGTTCCGAAGACGCGCCAAGAATCGGCCTCAGGACTTTGTCCTGGCCTCTCTCAAGGAAGTCTTCCAGCCCTTCATATCAGGACTTACTTCCTCCAGGGCGTTCTCCAGGATTCCTTGAAACTCGAAAGTCGTTACCAAATTCATCATATTCCCACTGTATAGTATACCGCAGCAAGTGCTTTCAAGAGTGCCGCCAGCAAGCCTTAGGGGGGGGGGG